GCATTGTCACTTCATATCAAGTTTGTGGTTCACGTTATTGATTATGGAGCATGCGCCATAAATGTAAGGCAGGCAGAGATTCCTGACATGTAAATGCAGAACTTTGCAGTGTCAATTCATATCAACTCAGTGGTTCACGTTATTGATTAAGGAGCATGCGTGGTAAATGAAACGCAGAACTTTATTGATACATGCAAAAACACTAAGCCCATTTTATAAAGCCTTTATCAAACACACTCAAAGACTCAAACATTCAGAAGCACTAAGGTCATTATATAAAGCCTTTATCAAACACCCTCAAAGACTCAAACACACTAAAACCCTAAAACACTCAAACACTAAAACGTTGTTACACCCCGTTATTCAGACACCATAATTTCCACAATGTCTCAAACACCACAACACATGATTGCCGCTCATATGAATGGTGAAGCTTTCGAATGTGAGGATTCGGGATACACTTTCAGAAACACGGAGGTTACAAGATTTTTAATTGACAAAAGGTCTAATTTTTTACACCTGAAGTCAAGAATCGAAAAAAAACTGCAGTGCGGTCCAGTTGGACAAATAGTATACAAAAACCCAGTATTCTTTGGCGGACTTGGTTCGTGCAAATTTTTTCCTTTAAAGGTGCGAGATGATGAAGACGTGCGTAACATGTTCCGCACTCACGAGTATTCAGGGTTCTCAGAAATCATGGTATACGTTACGTTACAACAGCAACAACTGTCTCAGCAACTGGATTCGTCACAAGTTTTTTGCGATTCTGAAGATGAACACCCCGAAGTCAATGTCGTGGACGAAGAAGAAGAAGCAACTGAGGTCATTGTTGACGAGATGGTGAACAATCCTGAGGTTGAAGTTCAACACGAGCATGTCTATTGTCCACCAAATCACATGACTGATATCACCTTAGTTGATGATGAACCCCCAACGGATGTTTTCTACATCCCCAACTACACAACACGGGGCCAACTTAAAGAGGGCGACGAGTTTCGTACGAAACAAGATTGTGTCCATGCTATCAAACAGTTTCACATGGAATTGTCAGCCGATTACAAGGTTGATCACTCAAATCCAACGCGGTATATGATCTATTGCCGTAACGAGGAGTGCCCTTTCAAATTAACAGCATCTTTCAGGAAGAGAAGCGATTCCTGGAAGATAGGGTCAATGGGTCCGTCCCACAGCTGTATCATCTCGAATCCGATGCAAGACCATCGCAAACTAAACTCTAAGTTGATTTGTGATGAAATTCTATCAGTCGTCAGCGACAACCCATCTTTGAAGGTGAGTACCATAATTGCGCATATGGTACAAAGGTACAACTACACTCCTTCGTACCGAAAAGCCTGGATAGCCAAGAATAAAGCTGTTGAAATGGTGTTTGGAAATTGGGAGGAGTCATACAAGGAACTTCCTAAATTCCTAGTAGCCCTTAAACACTACTCTCCAGGAACTGTTGCGATATTGGAGACGTTGCCTGCTTGTACACCAGACGGGAGTTATGTTGCTGGCAATGGAATTTTCCACAGAGTCTTTTGGGCATTCGAACCATGCATCAAAGGGTTTGCATTTTGTAAACCTATAATTCAGATTGACGGAACCTGGCTTTACGGGAAATATAAGGGCACACTTCTGATGGTTGTGGCACAAGACGGGAACAACAACATTTTCCCGATAGCCTTCGCCATAGTTGAAGGGGAGACTGCTGGGGGTTGGAATTTTTTCTTAAAAAACCTACGGTCATACGTGTCTCCCCAACCTAACTTATGTTTGATCTCCGATCGACACCCATCCATCGAGAGTGCTTACAACAACCATGACAACGGTTGGCAGGATCCTCCATCGACCCACGTCTACTGCATAAGGCATATTGCCCAAAATTTCATGAGGGAGATCAAAGACAGGACGCTGCGGAAGAAGGTTGTGAACGCGGGGTATACACTAACTGAACCAACATTCAGATACTACCGTGACGAGATTAGACTGAACAACGCGGATGCATTAAGATGGATTGACGGCATTGATAGGGAGAAATGGACGCGAGCATACGACAATGGGGTGCGATGGGGCCACATGACAACCAACCTCGTCGAGTCAATGAATTCTGTTTTCAAGGGAATTCGAAATCTCCCAATAACTGCGTTGGTAAAGGCAACCTATTTTAGGATGGGATCACTTTTTGATAGCAGGCGTGCGAAGTGGGGTTCGGTATTACAATCGGGTCAGCTGTACAGTGACACTGCAATGAAATTCATGAAAGACGAAGCTGCCAAAGCCAACACCCACGTGGTCACAATATTTGACCGTACAGCTGGTTGGTTCAGTGTTGCCGAGGCTATAGATCACAATGAAGGAAGGCCCAGGGGATGTTATCGTGTTGAATTAGATAAGAGCTGGTGTGATTGTGGAAAGTTTCAAGCATTCCGTATGCCTTGCTCTCATGTCATAGCAGCTTGTTCGAAGGCGCGCCAGGACCCAACCAACCTTCTTTCTTCAGTTCACCAAGTCATAAGTCTATGCAATGTCTACTCATGCAGTTTTCAGGTGTTGGCAAAGGAGGACTATTGACCCGAATACGAAGGCCAAATTGTTTGGCATAATGACTTGATGCGCAGAAAAAAGAAGGGTCGGCCTAACAGCACGCGCATACGAACCGAGATGGATACCTCGGATAAGCTAGTGAGATTGTGTAGTTCGTGTCGGCAACCAGGACACAATCGTACGACGTGTCCAAACGTTGGTCCGAGCAGCAGATCATAGTTTCATTTGTAAACGTGTCCATTTAAATCAAAAGTAACTTTCATTTGATTAAAATCAAATTTCATGCTATTACAGGCAGAGGTAACTGCAAATTTCCTTCTATTACAAGCAGAGTTAACTTTCATAAATTAAACAAACATAACAACAACTTAAAAAGATACACCAAAACAGCGGAATAGAGCGTCTACGATATCACGACCATCAACTTTATCTCCTTTGGTGTCAACATCATCACAAGGACGCCGACATCATTTTCCACTTTTCTCCATTCACGAGTAACTCCGTTTCTATCGGTCTTCTCCACCAACCTCTCAATTTTCCTAATCTTTTCTCCTGGAGCAATATCCCCTTCTAGTCAGCGGTTCAGTTCCCTGTGCAAGTGTTCCAACGTCTGCGTATTCCACAGGAGCACCTTCATCGGAGGCTTTGTTGCTGAAAACACCACAAGGGCATTATGGACTACGCTCAACTTAAACCGCACTACCGCTTTAGTCTTTTAGGAAATAATGTTGTGAAAAAAACATGTGTTTGAGCTCGTATTTATAGCCAAAAAAAATTATAATTAAAAAACAATAAGTTAGTGCGCAAATACATCGTTTCTATCGGTCTTCTCCACCAACCTCTCAATTTTCCTAATCTTTTCTCCTGGAGCAATATCCCCTTCTAGCCAGCGGTTCAGTTCCCTGTGCAAGTGTTCCAACGTCTGCGTATTCCACAGGAGCACCTTCATCGGAGGCTTTGTTGCTGAAAACACCACAAGGGCATTATGGACTACGCTCAACTTAAACCGCACTACCGCTTTAGTCTTTTAGGAAATAATGTTGTGAAAAAAACATGTGTTTGAGCTCGTATTTATAGCCAAAAAAAATTATAATTAAAAAACAATAAGTTAGTGCGCAAATACATCGTTTCTATCGGTCTTCTCCACCAACCTCTCAATTTTCCTAATCTTTTCTCCTGGAGCAATATCCCCTTCTAGCCAGCGGTTCAGTTCCCTGTGCAAGTGTTCCAACGTCTGCGTATTCCACAGGAGCACCTTCATCGGAGGCTTTGTTGCTGAAAACACCACAAGGGCATTATGGACTACGCTCAACTTAAACCGCACTACCGCTTTAGTCTTTTAGGAAATAATGTTGTGAAAAAAACATGTGTTTGAGCTCGTATTTATAGCCAAAAAAAATTATAATTAAAAAACAATAAGTTAGTGCGCAAATACATCACAACAAGTGAAAGTAAAATGCAAAAAAATGTTGTGAAAAAAACATGTGTTTGAGCTCGTATTTATAGCCAAAAAAAATTATAATTAAAAAACAATAAGTTAGTGCGCAAATACATCACAACAAGTGAAAGTAAAATGCAAAAAAAAGTAAAAACATATTATACAAAAGGATTGATCCTCCTCAAGGATCGAACTCAGGCTACCAAAGGTGAAATGTGCATTTGATGACAAAGTGATTACCACTGGGATGACTATACATCCATTGATGAATGCCACCTCAAAAATATATAAGGAAAGTTTAAAACCCTAGCTGGCCGATTTAGCAAGCAACCCAATTTACTTTAAATTTATAATTTCATAAAATAATTTAAACTTTTAAACTTAATTTTTTTAATATTATAGATGACATTAAAAATTATATTATAAATTCATATTAATATTAATTATATAAATATTAATTAGATTATAAATTTATATATTTTATGGTTAATAATAATAATAACTAAAATAAAAAAAGCATGAAAACGAAAACCCAGTATAACCAATTCGCCAATTGGTGTGGCGAATGGTCACAAAATACCAATGTCGCCAATTGGTTTGGCGAATGCCTTCAAGTCCATTTGGCCTAATTCGCCAAACGAAATGGCGAACGCATGTTGATCATTTTCCAAACATTGCCATTTTAGTATTTTTTTTTGAAAGTTTAATTTGTTTGGTAAATAACAACTATAACATTGCTATTTTAAAAAAAAATTCTTACATATTATATATATTAGCATTTGAACTGGTACTAGCTATTATTCTAATTTTTTTTCCGCTTTTTTAATACATATATAAAAAAAACGATATTTTTTATTAAAATAATTTTTTTCAAAATAAATTATATAAAAATTAATAATAATAAATTATTAATTAAATTAAACAATAATATACAAATAAAAAAAATAAAAAAATAAGTCACGCCAAAATAAAATAGTCCCTTTCATAATCCTCAGGGAAACAAGAATAACAGTTAATGGTGGTCAAGATGATGAGGTGGCGGCCGTGGCCACCTCTCGTCACCAGAAACTATCACGTCAGACTAACCGTGAACAAACTCACGGGATGTCATCTATTACGTCATTCTTGTTCCCGATTAACGGTTGAGATTAAATGGAAAGGCTCTAAGTCCTCATCACTCGCTTCGTTACGACGGAGCTCCGTCGCCAGAAATTTTACGAAAGAGGCTGTTGTTGAATGTGACGGCGGCGATCACGGTGGTTTTGTTGTTAATTTTGATGAGGAGTTTCAGAAATTTTGTAATCTGAATGGGTACAAAGATAATGTTGTTCATCCCTGGGAAATCGCTTTCAGAATCTTTAATGCATGTGTCTCTTTCTCTTCCTTTTTTTCACTATTTAATAATAATATTATATTATTCTTATTGAATATATATTTGTTCATTTTAAATAAATATATTTTTTGGAAATTGTTTTTCTGTATTTTTTTTAGGGTTTTTAGGACGGTTGAAATTTTGGATGATTCTGTGTGTTTTTTTTTTATCAATATTTGTTTGTTTTTTTAATTCATGCCTAGCCATTTTTGTATTCAACCATGAAGTTAATGTTATTAATTGAAGAGGTGGAAATTGTTTTGTGTGACTGTGTTACAGATAAAATAATTGTGACGTAGTTGACTTTTTGTTCATTATGATTTTTTATTCAATTTTTAAAATGTTGCTGTGTTTTTTTTAATGAAATTATAGGGATTGAATGAAAAGCCAAAGAAAAAGAGGGTTGTTGTTGGAACTGCTTTGTTGAATATTGCAGAATTTGCAAATTCAAATGATGAAAATGGTTTTGATTTGAATATTGCAGAATTTGCAAATTCAAATGATGAAAATGGTTTTGATTTGAATATTCCAGTCACAATACCTGGAGGTTCTTCACAGCATTCTCCTTCACTTTGTGTAAGTCGATTCGATTAGTAGTTCTCGCTATGGTATAATTACGGATTTTTGTTGGTGTGTGTAAAAGTTCAATTCTATTGTGTGCAGATATCAATTAGTTTGATGGAGGTAAGAGGTGCTCAAGAAAAAACACTGTCAGTGCATAGATCGGTAGTCCCTGTGTCGTCGCCGCAGGCTGAATCGGGAGATAGCATGATTACAGAGAAAGAGGTTCTTTCTGCAAGTAAAGGTGGATTTTGGAAAGTGAAGTCTTTCACAGAATTTGTATCTTCAAGGAAGTCACAGAAGCCGTGTCGAGGGGAAGAGAGAAGTACTGATAGCAAGTGCTCTGGGAGTGGGGATGTTAATCCTAGTTATGCTGTAGATTCTGGCTCTCTTGATGATTTTGGAGGAGATCCGGACGAGGGGAATGAGGATTCATTTGTTGGGAATTCTGGTTATGGAACATTGGCGTCTGCGAATGCTGGAGGATCACATTCATATTATTCCAACACGAAGGTGAATTGTGATGACGGCGATTGGGTTTACTATAGCTACCGCATGCCTGATGCTGGGCCTTCAGAAATGGAGGATTCAACCGTGTCTTCTTCGGAGTCTTATTTATCACAAAGTATAAAACGTAGCATACTTCCATGGCGGAAGAGGAAGTTAAGTTTCAGATCTTCTAAGGGTGTTAAGGGAGAGCCACTGATAAAAAAAGATTATGCCGAAGATGGCGGAGACGACATAGATTTTGATCGCCGACAGCTTAGCTCTGATGAATCATTCTCTTCGAAGGTAATAACAGTTTTAGGCTAGCTCAGTTGTATGCTATAATTTTTGGTCAGAAACTACTTACATAAACTTATGTTGCTCACTGTTATTGATTAGTTAATTTTATGTTGTTTGTTAGTCTCTCAAGACTGAGGATAATTGGTGCTCTGAATTTGGAGATGATATGTTTGTTGTTGGAAAATGGGAGCAGAAAGAGATCACAAGCCGTGATGGTCACATGAAGCTTGAGACACAAGTCTTCTTTGCCTCAATCGACCAACGCAATGAACGTGCGGCAGGCGAGAGTGCATGCACGGTTCTCGTTGCAGTAATTGCTGATTGGTTCCAGAACTGTCACGATCACATGCCCCTAAAGTCCCAGTTCGACACTCTAATTCGAGATGGCTCCTTAGAATGGAGGAACCTATGCGAAAACGAAACGTATAGAAACAGGTTCCCTGACGGGCATTTCGATCTTGAAACAGTCATTGAAGCAAAAATACGTCCGCTTTCTGTTGTTCCCGGCAAGTCCTTCATTGGTTTCTTTCATCCAGAAGGAATGGACGAGGAGAGATTTGAGTTTCTTCGTGGCTCAATGTCTTTCGACAACATTTGGGACGAGATCAGCGGTTCAGAACACGAGTGGCTTAGCAATGGCGAACCTCACCTCTTTATTGTGAGTTGGAATGACCATTTTTTCATTCTCAAAGTCGAATCCGACTGTTACTACATCATAGACACATTGGGAGAGAGGCTTTACGAAGGATGCAATCAAGCATATATCCTTAAATTCGACAGCAACACAGTAATACACAAAACACAAAATGTTGCTCAATCATCATCAGACAATAAAACCACCGGTGGTGATCGGCAAACTGTTGCGCAAGTATTTGAGCGCAATAACAAGTCAGAACAACAAGTTAACAACGGTAACGAGGTTGATTCTATCGTAGAGCAAGAAGACAACGAGGTTGTGTGTCGAGGCAAGGAAGCATGCAAAGAGTACATCAAGAGTTTCCTGGCTGCAATTCCTATCAGAGAATTGCAAGTTGATATAACAAAAAACAACATCACATTTTCGCCTCATCAGAGACTACAAATCGAGTTGCACTACACTCAACTGTTACAGTCTTGTTTATCAACCCCTGTGGCGGAAGCAACCGTGGCTGCAGCTGAAACACCTGTGGCGGAAGCAACCGTGGGTGCAGCGGAAACACCTGTGGCGGAAGCAACCGTGGCTGCAGCAGACACACTTGCTCTTGCAATAAATGAGATTTCTACATAATAATGCTAGTTTAGAATTTAATTTAGATCAAAGAAAGTGCACATAAGCTAGCTAGTTTTACAATTTTAACTAAATAACATTATGTTAGAAAAAAGTCTACATAGAAGCTCTTTTAAGCTGTTGATACTTGATAGTGAGCTGAATCTGTAGGCCTTGTTTTGCGTTACAATAATGATTCCTGACAGGGGTATCAAATAAATGATTCTGTGGTTTCCCTTTCAAGTGAGTGCAAACTTTTGGCATATGACATAAAGATTCTTCTACTTGTGAATGCTTTATAACTTTTTCTAAAGACTTTTTACGCATGTTACATCATTTTAACATTCTTATTTTCATATTCTGATTTTCTATGGCTCACTAAGTCACATGAATATACTAGGTAGTGGCGAAGAGAAGTTGATGGGTTTGGCTTCTTTTGATTCTCGTTTTCTTTTTTCTACCCTCTATATTTATTTATTTTATAATTTGTCATTTCTTTTAGCAATCAATTCTTTTTTAAAATATGTTTAATATTATATAAAGGCATTTTTAATCTTAAAAGCTATAAGGAAAGTGACACAATTTCATCGTTGAAACATTGATTCTACTATTACATTTAGTATTATTTTTTTCTTCAGATTTTACCTTTGATTTAAATTATTTAATTGGCAAATATTATCAATCTTTATCCAATTAAAAACTGATATTTTTCCTTGTAAATTGCAGCCCAACGGAAAAAGTTGATATTACATGTTGAACGTGATTATTACAGTTAAAATGTTTGATCTCATGATTGTATACGTGAGTTTCTAATAGTTATTGTTAACAAAAAAAAAGAAAATTTTATGGTTTTTATTAAAATGTCAAAAGTACGAGAATAAGAATTATAATAAAGTATAATATTAGATAATAGTAGAAGACTAAACTATCCCTATTAATATATAATGTTATTTAATATCTTTTTCTAAATTCATGATGCATTAATAGGAAGTATCGAGAGAGAGAGTCTCTCAATCAAGAAAGAAAAAAAGGGTTTAATGATATGTGTCTTCGTAAACAAATTAATAATTTGTAAAAAGAGAGTGTAATACCCTAAATTTTATCCCGAAATTATTAGGTTCATTTTGCACGTCATCTCATTCGCATGACCTTATAACTAACCACTAACATGTGTGTGTAGTCTGTTTGGTTTTGCAGGAAAAGTTACATTGGTGCGCTTATGAGGGGCAAAATGGTCATTTTGTTTGAATAAAGTTAGTCGAAAAAACGGGGTCATTTGAGTTTAATCGAACATATTGGATTTATTCTGTTAAGATTGATTATTTAAATTGTCGGAAGGATTAATCGGAAGTTGTAGTGGAGACGAGATTTAATCGGATGAATTTTGAATTAATGAAAAAACATAATTTTTATTTATGTTTTCATTTCATTTTAATATATATAATATGTATGTTTTCATTCCATTTTTTATCAAAAAAAAATATTAATTTTTATTTCTTTTAAATGTTTTTTCATTTCATTTCATATCAAAAGAAAAATAAAATAAATAACTTTATTATAATGTCAAAAAAAATTTATAATTATGATTATTTCATTTTAATATCAACATTTTTATGACATTTTAATATCAATAGTTTCATTTCATCATTTTTATATCAATAATAATATTTTTGTTTGTTTCATTACAATATCAAAAAATAAAGAATTCTATTATAAAATTAAAAAAATAATAGTTATTTCTTTACAACAAAAAAATTCACAAAAAAAATAAATTACATTTTTTCCTAAATTCCTACAAATTCTAATGTCTTTTGATTTTTTTGACTTTTCTCGAGTTTTCGATTTCTCCGAACCTACAAAAAAAAAGCAAACCAACAGTTTAATCGGTTAGTTTTTCAGACACACTCAGAGTAGTATCATCATCGGGTGTCGGGAGGGCAATAGGCATGGCAAAAAAACCCAGACCCGTCGGGGCCCGCCCGGACCCGCCCCGAAATTAGCGGGGAAAACCCGGTTTGAGTGGGTACGGGTGCAGGTGCGGGGAAAATCCGATTTTTAATTACGGGTGCGGGTACAGGTGCGGGTAGACACTAAGACCCGCCTGCACCCGGCCCGCCCCCGCCCCCGAATAATTTATTTTAATTTAATTCTCTTATTTTACTTATTTTAATATTTATTTATTAATTATATTTTTAATTAAATTATTAATACATTTATTGCAATTACAATAAATAAATTAATCAAGTTAATATTCATTTACTAATTAAACTTTTAATTAAATAAATAATTAATTTATCAAAATAATCAATTTTTTAATTAAGTTATTAATTTTTATTGTAATTAAAAATATTTTTTTTTTTCGGGTGGGGGCGGGGCGGGTGCGGGTGCACCCGTTCTCTACTGGGGGCGGGTCTGGGTGGTAAATTTTTACCCCCGGTCGGGTTTGGGGGCGGGGGCGGGTGTGTTACATGAAAGTGGGTGCAGGTGCGGCTATATTAAAATCCGCCCCCGACCCGCCCCGTTGCCATCCCTAGAGGGCAACGGATTATTCCGAAGCCGACTCCCGACTTTATTTCTGACCGAAGGTAAAATCAAGCAAGTCCTGTTCTATTTTTCGAGGCAACCGAGAGAGAGATAAAAAGATTTGTCAGGAAAGTGCTTTTGAAAATGCTGGTTTTGAAAAGTGCTTATTCAAAAAAGTGCTTTTGAAAAAAGCACTTATTCAAAATTGATTTTCAGCCAAACATGGATCAAACAACATTTCCAGCATTTCAAACAAATCACCATGGATTTCGCAACTCAGTCAACAACCAAGATCAATGCAATGGTTACGATAACAAATTGCGAAAGCCCAAACAAGCGTTCCAACACCAACTGAAGAAAACGTGAATCAACCATCATTTCCGGAAACTCAACAACAACAATCAGTTAAAGCTCATCCGACAAAACCGCAGAAAATATAGTAACAAATCAGCACACAAATCCAACAAGCAAGTGGCAGATTCAAGCCCACCATATCACAAAAAGCAACGTATAAAAGTATCGTAAAGATTCAAAACTTGGGGGATCCAAAAAAAAGCCAAAAGTGAGAAAGCGGCAGCGCAATCGAGGGAGGTTCAGAGAAACTCTTTGAGTTTCATCATCATCACCTCAGAAAGAAGAAGAGAAAGAAGCTTTCGCGGCGGCCGAAAGACCGGAGGATTCGAAAAACCCACATGCAACCATCATCGGCCAAAGATCCAAACCATTTCCATTCATCATCGAGAACCCGCGGCGGCCGTGAACCCATCTGAAAGGTCATTACCACCGTCACCGGACTCAGACAGACGGATCCATCATCATCGCCCGCTTTCGAGCTCGACGGGGGAAGCAATCCACCTTGAAGATCAACCGACGGGCAACACGAAGCATCAAATACATATCAACCCCCAAATGTAAGCCATGATAACTCATTCAGGTTCTTTTCTCATTTTGTTTCAGGTGAATTCCAAGGAGAAGACAAAAACAAAGCTATGGAGGAAGAGGGATTTTACTGCCGTCACATGCAAAACCAGGAGGAGGGCGTCGTCGGCACATCAGAAGAGGAAGAGGAGATTATCAAATGGAAAGAAGGAAACCCTAGAGTTTCAATGAGGAGCTATCCGCCCCTCCCTTTTAATTCGTTTTTTTTTTATTTTATTTTATTGTATTAATTAGGTTTTGTTTTTGTTCTATTTTAATAAGTGAATAAAAAAAACGAAAAAATTTTAAAACATTTATTTTTCTTAATTAAAACAAAACTAAAACTTGTTTTCCTTAATAAAATTCCTAACCTTTCTAACATTATCTATTTTTAAATTTCTAAACATTTTGCATTTTCACTCTAATTTTCCAACTTAAAAACGCAAAAAAAAAATGATTAACATTCCCACTCATGGTCATCTGACTTTCCTCTTCTAGTTGCGTGTGATTTACTATCTTCTCATTTGGCTGTATTTTCATTTTCGGTTTGTAATTATGCAAGGTCATCGTCGCAATTATTTATTCTTTCAATCTTTGGAATTTATAATTTACGCGAGTGATCGTCGCGATGCTTTTGCTTTACCGCTTTCCTTATTTTCATACTTTAATTCTGCCATATGCTAACTTTTCATCTGTTGCACTATTTACCGTTAAACCCTACGAAGGATTAGGTCTAGCCGTTTAACCGCCGAGTCAATAGTCCTTAACCTTTGAATGTTTCAAAACCCTAATTAGCCTAGGTGTCCCGCCGTGGACGAAAAATGCCCTTTACCCTAGCATTAGGTCAAAGAGTCGTCGTACTATGTTTTAGGGTTTCCCGCCGTGTAACATTTAGTCAACCCTATTTTCAATTAATTATTTCAACATAGAAATAGGAGTTTCAAGACTCCACGTAAGTGCTTCCTTAAGAACGTTTATTTTCCCATGAAACCTTGACCACAGTCAAGCCGTTTCCAACCTCCCTTTCGAGGGGAACTACGATTACTCTAATTCCATTCCCTACCCAGGATACGTAGGCACAAGATGCGAGTCTTGCCGAGTAAACTTAGGACTAACTCTTAGGTCTTTTAAGTCACTCTTAACCCTTAGCAATATAACTTCAAGCAAATAATAAAGCAAAAATAGTAAATTTAAACAAAAGGTTCTTGTAGAGTACTACATAAGTTTAGGGTGTTAATACCTTCCCTAAGCTTAACCAACCCCTTACCTAGGTCTCTCCCTGCATTGTGTTTACGATGCAAAAATAGGTTTCCCTTCTTTTGACCTTTTCCTTCGGATAAATCAAAGATCGGTTGTGAATTAAAAATGTGATTCAAGCTAATTAATAGTTTGATCTCCTATTTCCACCGTAAGAGAAAGAGACAAACAATAGGGTAGAGTAATTTTCTATTCTGAAAATGGTGACGAGTGAAGTGAGAGTCAATCTTGATGTGTTTGTACGTTCATGAAATATTGAGTTGTGAATAATTTGAATCGCATTTTTGTTATTATAATACACGTGAGTTGGTTTAGAAAAAGTG